GGGACAGAAAGACAAAGAAAGAGGAGAGAATCAGGGAGAGCGGGACCTGGTATGGATTCAATAGTGTAGATTGGTCCTCACCATGATTCTCAAATATTTGTCTATTATCTTTCCCTATCTGTTTCCACCAGAATTTCTTGTCCAAATACTTCCCCATTCCTGTTATTTTCATAACTCCCTCACACAACCCGTTCCCAAGATTTTTCGGTATACAACTCTAGTATTTACTCACCCCTCGCGATAGAAAAAAAAAGAGGGAAATCTGGAAGAGTCAGATAGAAAGACAGCAGCATAGACGCAAGGCCGTCTTCCAAGACCAGAACGTGCTCCCTCCCTATCGCCGGCTCTGACAGGAGCAAAAACAAACCCCAACCGAGCAAAATAACAGTATAAAAGATCTTCAGTTACCATTTGTCCAGAACTAACATTAGAAAACAAACTGAGCTGGCAAAAAAAAAAAAGCCTCCCAAAAAACTTGGACAGGCCAGTCGGGTATGGGTATCGTTAAATCTCGACGCTCGTCAAGTCACCGGAAGTGTCTAGCGATCTCAAGGCTATCCTCCGCTCCCCGGAACTGCTCAAGGCGCGATACTAAAACGCACAGGACATTTGTTCGCGCCTGCGTTAAAAAGTTCGTCAATATTTTTCCCACCAGTTCGAGGTACCGCCGTCCCTCTGTCTTCTTTTACAGGCTCTTTTTTTTCTGTTCCTGTAGTCTTCATGTTTTGTTTTTATTACCTTGACACGCCGAGCAGAGTGAAGGGCGTCCTTTATTTCTGCACTTAGAAGGCGTCACCATCAAAACAGGGGCTTCTCCACGGAAAAAGAAACGAAATCCCCCCAGCATCTTCGCAAAACAAAACGAAAATAGTTGTACTATAATTCCACACTTCCTCCTTCCTGCTGCCCTCCGTCTAAAAGCATTTGTAAGTATTCGCAATTATAACCATTAGACGACCGGACTCAAAACACTGAAGCCCAACACAAACGTTGATGCATCTGAACAGAGTTCAGAAACGAAACCAAACATTCTTATTCGTAATGTTCATTACATTATTTTTTCGATATTTTTCTTTTATAGGGGATAGGTGAAAGGTAGTGGGGGAGGGGGGGGGGTGGACCCACTTTACGCCAACAGGAGATGCAACCCTGTTCTTAGATGGGATCATGGGCATTTACTTACTTCTACGCCAGGATGCACATATGATGTTATTTCCTGTTAGGTGCTCTACCTTCAAAATGACCTATAATTATGTGTCCAGTAGGGCCCACTCCCACACACATTAGTCCCCTCTGGTATTTCAAAGGATGAATTAACAAAGAATACATAGAAAAAAAATCAAAATATTCAACACTAGACCTCAATACGAACTCTAGCATGAGTGCGTTCATTCCCTGCGCTTTCCATTCATCTACGTCTTATCTCGATCAAACGAGCAAAAAAGCATATCTCTGGTGCCAGGAACTCAAGAGAAAAGTCTATAACTCCCTTGTGGGTGATACAGAAACCACACAAGACATCATCAAGCACAGCAGCAGACTCGCAGACACCAGAAATCGTCTGGTGATAAATGGCCGCGAGGGCGGGGCCTGAGATCACCTGTTGGTATAAACAAAGCTTCGCGCCACACTTTCGCAGCGATCTCTGCGAGACTTGAAGACAGGAAAAGTGGCAACGATTGGCATAAAAAACTACTGAACTGCGGTGTACGAGGAAGTGGGGTGGGGGGGGGGGGGAGAATAATTCGTTGAGTAACAGTTGCAGGGGGCGGGGCGGGGGATAGTCTTGAGCTGGTGCATTATTATTTTCATTAACCAAAAGACGGTGTGATTGATTGTGTTCATGAGCAATCCGGTGACGTGCTGTCAAGGGAGGACAAAGAAAGAATATCAGTGTAAGGAATATGATAGGAGAAAAGATGAAAGGACAAGACTCATAGTATAATAAATGTGGGTATACCAAAAGATAGAGCGACATTGGCAGAGACAGACACGCGCACATCAAGATGCACACAAACGCACACACACACACACACACACACACACACACACACATAAAAACCCACACAAACAAACAAACAAACAAACACACTCACACATAATATTATACTGAAACAGAGACAGAGATACACACACACAGAAATTTCACACAGAGATAGAAAGAAAGGCTGAGAGAAACAAAGAAAAAAAGCGCGCGCGCGCGCGCGCGAGAGAGAGAGAGAAAGAGAGAGAGAGAGAGAGAGAGAGACGAAAGAGAGAGAGAGAGAGAGAGAGAGAGAGAAAGAGAGAGAGAGAGTGAGAGACAAAACGGGAGAGACAAGGAAAGATAAATAGGGAAAGGTGACAGGCAGGTAGAAGGGGCGGAAAGGGTACACAAACAGACAAAAAGACAGTTAAAGTTAAAGAAAGTTTGTAATAGAGCTAACTTACACCCTATTAACCCTTCCTTTCCGCTTTAATCGTCCATCCCACCCTCTTCTCGAAGCCCAACACACACGGTTCTCATAGAAATGTCGCTGTTTTCTCGACAAGCGAACCTGGCGCCAACTCGGGGGTCAAATCGTACGCCAAGAGCAGAAGAGCTCACATTCTTCTTCTCTCCTGCAGTAAAACGTCTCGCATTTTTTGGTCTGTCAATGGGTTCAACTCTTATGAACTAGGAGTGCTTTACGTTGAGAGAAGGTTTTTTGTGTGTGTGTTAAGCAGTACCCGGATTAAAGATTTTTGTGTCGTATCATAAAGACTCTGTCTTGACTAAAGAAGAGCTTCAGTGTGCACCTACAGAAACCGCACGCCTATCAACATAGCTTGTTGTGTTCAAAGGATGAAGGGACAGGTAAATGACAGCGGGGGAAGATAAGACAACAGAAAAAACGGGAAAAGCACCATGTTGGAATGGGCATTCTTAGTGGGTGGCTGTATGGGCAAAGTTGGTATCGCGATCAACGTCAAAAATATTTTTTTAAGCTTTACTATTTTCATGGTAGCCACGCTTTAGGCTTTAGTAAGAGTTAAACGTCACTTCCAACACAATAAAGTCATGCAAGTGCCGAAGATTAAAAGTGCAACAAGAGAGAAGCAAACACAAAAAAAGGAGGAGAGATAGGGACGATAGACATTTGATAGGAAAGAAGGAGCAAAACACAACTGAGCAACCACTAATAACATCATCAACAACAACCACAAAAAAAAGGAACCAAACCAAACCAAACCAAAACAAAACACAAAAAAGGCAAAAAAAGCCAAAAACGTATCGCTCAACCAGTATCCGGTAAGTTGTTTGTTGGGAATGGGCAACCAAAGTTGTCGCCCACAACACAGCCTAATACGGGGAGCCCACTACTGCTGGATCGGGCCGATCGCCCGACTCGGTCGCCTCAAAAACAGACATGTTTGTTTTCAGTTTCAGGCGATCGAGTCATGGGCTAAAACAGCACCTGGACATGGATGGCTGGTGCCTCTATAAATAAATCATTGATGGTCTGGCGATCGAGTCGGGCGATCGGCCCGATCCAGCTGTAGTGGGCACCCCGTATAAAACTATACAAGCTGTGAAAGCAAGGAATCTTCCAACTTACTTAACTAATTTCAAAATAGAGACAGTAAGGAATGGCCTGTCGAATCCTCGAAGAAACAGCGATGGCTGGCTTGTTTTGTTTGTTTGAGTAGAGAGAAGCACATCGACGCAATAACGGTCGCTGAGTGCAAGGATAGAGCAAGAGAAGTTGGACCTACCAGTGGCGCCTTCCTGCCACTCACAGAAACAG